GAGGCGCAACCCTCTTCCTGTCCCACACGCTTCGCTTGCTTTCGAAAATCGCAGCTTATTAGCCGGAGTGTGCGGCGTTTTATGCGCGCCCAAACTTTAGGCGTTTTTGCTCCGTAATTACTAGTCCATGAGGTACGATTCGATGTTCAGTATTTTCGGTGTACTTTCGAGATCCCCATTTGGTGATGAGTTTATAATTATTTTAAGTGCTTGTTTGCTTGGATTTTACGGCCGGGCTTGACTGGCTTTTTTTCGCGCAGAATAAAAATGGTAACGGTCAAAAAAGTTATTGTTTGATACATTTTTAAGTTATGGAAGATAGAGCCAAGTGCATGATGAAATCGTTAAGGAAACAATGTCAAAACTTAAATATAGACATTTAAATATGGTCTCACGTGAACGATTTTTTCAGCCTTATTTTTAAGTACATCTTTTCTATTAATCATTTTTACAAATAGACGATGAAACTAGAGTTTATTTTCCATATATACTGTTCCTACCTCGTCTGGGAAACTTAAAGTAATAAAAATTCGTAGAAGATTGACAATACATATATGTATTTTTTTTAAAACGTCATTTTTACATAACCATGTTACATTGACATAAGGAGTTGAAAACACACATTAACTGTTCATTAACATCTTATATCATACTGGGTTATTAACATTTTCTATCTTTATCGCTTGGTAGATTAACAAATCACTCCTGGAAAATGTTGAAAAATTCTGCTTTCTGGTAGACTAATTATTCATTTGAAGTTAACTTTGTTGGTACTCAACTTTTAACAAATAAGAGTCTTCATAGCATTTAGTGTAACAGTGGAATTCTCTACTGTACCGACAGACTAACTTTAAGCTGTTTTGATTAATTAAGCGTTATATGTTTAACAATTCCATAACTTGTTAAAAAAATAAATTGACGATAGAAACATTGTAAATCATCAAAGATTAGGAATAATAAATTCTATACTAAATTGAAACGTTATTTCTTTTCAACAAATAATTTGAACCACTTAAACATTACAAATTAAAAAGTGTATCATAGTAATACTAGAAATAATAAGCATATTTCTTACACTTGCATTGATTTTCATATGAGAATGACCATGGATACAAAGAAAGTTTAGTATAAAAACGTGTGTAGTATGCAATATTTTATGTACTGTACAATATTGAGTGTATGAATTTGTTTTTGCTAGAGAAGAATTCATTGTTTAAATCGAACCGTTACTAACCATTTATTCTGAGGCACCAATTTTTAACTTTTATTAACGAATACACTGAAATCCCTAAAAAAAAAATTTTGATCACTACAGTTATCTAAATATTTTACTAATAATTTCATAGTTTTTCCACGTACTTATCTCATTTCACGTACTTTTTTCATCCAGTATTTGTTTAATGATAATTATTAGTATTTAAATAAATTAAAAATCGATTTGAGCTACTTATAAAGATAACTAAGTATAGTAATTTTGTATTTTCGTTAAAGCTAAAGATGTTTGTATTGTAGGTGGAGGAAATTTCTTAATTTTTTTTACAAAATACTCGAAATTATAATAGGAATCAAATCAAGTAATAATAAAAAAAAATTCTACCTTTTGAGACATAAAATTTGAATACCAACGACAACATCTATAGATTGTTTTTATTTATTTGTATTGATAACAAAATGAGTTTTCTTAATAATTAGTTTTATTAACAATAATACGTAATATCTCAGTGATTCTTCAACTGATTCCAATCATGATGAACCCCAAATTTCATTTTCTCATCCTTATTGCAGCTCAAAGAAAAAATTTTAATTGTATATGCTTTATTTAAGTTGTTACTCTGATTTTCTGGCTATCAACAGACAGTTTTCTTTTTTATTTGCCTTTTTTTTTTTTTTNTGATGGAACATTATATTTTGTGCAGGCAAAAGTAGACAGAAATAGTTCCAAGTTGTTTAAGAATCACCAATTGGTTTTCTATAACAGTAATGTGAATTAATTATTTGCGCCACAACTTTAAGCTAATTTCTACAACGATTGAACTCTATTAGCCGTAAAAATAACTTTACCGCTATGAATTATTCCGATATGTCATTCAGTTTATTTTTTATTTACTAAACACTAACATTTAGCGTTAAAATCTGCCATGTATTAACATTCTGTTGACAGATTTTGAAAATCTAATGTTTTCAAATTTTGTATTCTTGTATTTATAGTGGCTTTAAAAAATTACTGCTGCATGCAACATTAAAGTTGTTACTACGATTTTATGATATTAAAAAAAAAATTTGTTTTCTTACTTTTTAGGCACAAAAATTGTACTTCGATTTTAAAAACTATTTTAAGTACTGAGTAGATCATAAAAATTTGTAAGTGCCAGAGTTAAATTTTCTTTTTCATTTTAATTTTGTATTAAATAGTATGAAAATAGCTATATTTCTTATTTTAAATTATTCTAATGGTCAACTGATTTTTTCTTTTGTTAACGAATCAACACGATAAAAAAAATTGTATTCTCGAAACCTGCTTAGTTATCGTAAGTATAAGTTGATTGTAACATTCTAATAAATGATATGTTACATTGATAAATACTTGAATAAGAAGTTTTTTAATTTTTATAATTCACCATTGACTGTTTTTAATTTACAAAACTTAGTATATATGCAGAATACAAGAAAATACATCTAACGATTTTACAACAAATATTTTAATTAATTTTTTTTTTTAGCAAAATTTATAGTTGCAAATGTGGCTTATTTATTTTAATTATTACTTCAAATAATTACATTGCCTCTAACTAAAAACTTTGGTTCGCACATATCGATGCAAAGCAAGTTAACCATGGTTAAGTACGCGTATTTAAGAAAAAATGTGCATCATACTTAACCTAAAATAAGGGTTATTACTATTAGTGATACAACTCACATGTTAAATTTTTTTTTTTTTCCATACCAAAAAAATAAAATTCAATAATAAATTTAAACTTTTTTTGGAAAGTAATTTAGGTAATGGTTGTAACATAATAACGATTCACAAACTATTCTTTCGATGACGTTTAAGTTTAATTTGAATTATAATCATGTAATTATCTCTAGCTAGTCACAACTCGAATAAAAGACTTCATTTGACTTCAATTGATCGTTCTCATTTTTTTCAAGATATTGCTGCCTTAAAATAAAAATGTAGGTTTTTTAATCTTATTACGGGTTTTAAAACGATTTTTGCCGTAGAGGGTCATCAGTTATCAAACTCCAATTCAAAATTTCACCAATAAAACTTATCTATCTAAACTTACTAAATCACACATTTTCTCTTATTCTCTAAAGTTAGATCAGTCGAATTAGTCAATATTAACTAATTATAAGTGAAAAGTCGTTTACTTATTGTGATAAGTAAACGACATTTTACTGATTCGCAGTAAAATTTGACTGATTCAACTTATAGAAAGAATAATCCTGTGTTTAGAGGAAGATTTGTGCTAATTTATTAGCAGTAGTTATTTTTTTCCTTTTTTAGTTACATAAACATGAAAAAAAATAAATGTATAAATGGTTAAAAATGCCTGAGTCATCAATAGTATTGTGGCTATATAAGAAAACGTTCAAATGTGAATTGTCCAGGAACCTGATTTTTTGGCCAATTTTACTCCCCTATTTTGCCCAGAATTATGGATGAAGAAACATTTTACTTATACTTCTTTTTTCATTCCATTTTGACGTAAAGTGCTTACGTATGAAATAGTTTTAGTGAATTTTTAATAAGAATATAAACACCACATTTGTCTATAATGTCTCAGATGGCATAATAGATTTACGAACAGAGGCAGTTATTTTTTCTGTTATGCTGAAATGTCGGAAATATATTCAGTTTCTATAAAACAGCTATAAGTAGACGTAAACGATAGAATCATAGAATGTTCATGTCAAGAGAATATTATGAGTATTTTATTTATTCGTTGAAAAAACGTATGTAAGTGAGTTGTTTGCTCATTTTATTATTAAAATGATGGAACATTATATTTTGTGCAGGCAAAAGTAGACAGAAATAGTTCCAAGTTGTTTAAGAATCACCAATTGGTTTTCTATAACAGTAATGTGAATCGAATAAATTAAAACAGTAACTTAATAGTATTTTTTTGTCTGCATATTATACTCTTTTTATTTGAAATTATGTATCGATTAAAACGAATCGTTGATGAACAAAGGTTTATGAACAAAAATTTTTATTTTAGATTAAAAAAAAAAAAAAAAATACTCCATCCCTGTAACGGTTCACATCATCATATTATTTAAATATAAAAAAAATGTATGTAGAGACCTAAATTAAACTCTATACTATCATTATGAACATTGTCATTCAAAATTTTCTGCTACTCCAAACTAAATTGTACATTCGACTCGTGAAATGGAAACTCGCAATGGCGCACTACTTATTTAAACTACAAACTTATGAATTATCCAACCGTAGACAAATCATGAAGGTAGACAAAAGGATGCACGATCCGATCAAAAATTTGGCCCGCACCACGATGCGGACGCGGCAATTAAAAATCAATAATTCATCGAGCCACGCGCTTGGTTATCCGATACGTAGGAATAATATTACGCAACGCTCTGAAAGAAAGACGAGCTAGCCAAGGGGGAGACCGTACCGCGTGCACGCACACATAAATACTTATAGAGAATGAATAAATCAATTAGGGATAAACGAGCAGCTGGCTGTAAGTAGAGCTTGCAAGACTCGCAGGGGATAGAAAATGAAAAGAAAAGCAAAGAAAAAGAAAAAGCCTGTGGTAATCGCGTAATTGGAGTTGCAGTGGTGTGCGAGGGAAAGGGAGTTGTTGGTATAGGACACGACTACGACTACAACTGTACCTATACACCATGCATGGATCTTGCTCGGTGTGTAACTGTTTACACACGATAGAAAAATACGCGCGTACCCACCCAACGCATGGGTGCGTATAAATATATAAAAATACGGTACAAGCTTGCTGATGGACACTTACCGTGGTAGGGCTGGGCGACGCGTCCCTCGAGAGCCCGCCAATGCTGGACAATAAGCGTCGCGAGGTCCCAAGCACAGAGTCCCGCCATCCCTCTGCAAAACAAACAAATGCCACGCGATTACTCCAACGTCTCCTTCATCTTTGCTCTTCTACCGCTGCTTCCTTCTACTTGCTTGTATTCGCCCTCTCGTTCCTTTTCCTTCTCAATGTAAATACACCCCAATAAATAAAAGATATGTCCCGGATAATGGCCCTCCCCCTTCAACTGCTCCTGTCGATGGTACATAACACCACCGCCACCACCAATTCATGAATTTGATCCGTAAACCAACATATTGCGATCCTTATCATCGAATGTCGGGGAATAATAGTCTCACTCCCTTTTTCCGTTCTCCCACATTCCGAGGGCAGAGGTTTTGACTAGGTAGCAATTCTGTCTTTGGCCATTATCATATTATTCGGGTGGTATTGTATATTGGCTTTTGGAACAATTTTATTTATGGCGTATTTGGTAAAACCAAAATGGTTTTTTTATTAAAATGTATAGTCAATTTTTAAAAAAGTGTTGATCTATATGAAAAACGATGTAATTAAAAGAACAGTTGTAAATTTTTTAATCAGAGGGCGAACGGAGACTCATTTTCTCGGGTGCCAAGAGAGGGTTAAAATTTTCAACCACCCACGTGCGCCATCCAACAGCCGGCGCGTGAGATTTTTACGATTTTTAATCGGCTTAATGATGGCCAACTTTACGATTGCGAATCAAAAAAGGGGTTCAATCGCATGCGCGAAGAGGGTTGCGAACCCGCTCCGAGCCGGGGGAAACTTTTGCGAACGGAAGCCGTGGCTACCGCAAACGACTCTGTCTGCCTGGTCTTTGATATTTCCCGTACTTACATTATGGGAATAACTACTCGAATTGCTTCTGAGGTCGCATTTTTTTTAAGTGTGATTGCTTGTCCCTTGAGTGTGCATATTGTGTACAAAGATAATACGCGTGCTACAACAACTTACTGCTATGTTTATCTACTGTTGGTTGATGTCAGCTATGAACAACTTTTCGCGTGAGGAAATAGAAAAAATAAGTCTAATTGCACTCCAATTTAAAACAATACTCGTCAAAAGTAACATTAGTACAATAAAATACAATGACTAACGTTTACTCATTCATTTATTCACGCTTATTCTTCCTGAGAAACAACTAATAGAAAATTTATTAGTTTTTCGCACTAAAGTGGTCAGTAGAACAGTTACTCAAGCTTACACTTTTCTATAAATTAATATTCGAAAATTGAAATTCGTATAGTACCATATGTTTGTAGGATTTTCCCATGAAATTTACTTTTTCACTTTAGTACTTATGAATGGGGTCAAATTTATCTGCTTTAAAAAAATGCCTAATTTTTATTTATTTACTTTTTCAGAGGGTGCACCACTATCCTTCACCGCCTTTAACTCCTTTACTCCTTTCTAATCCTTATTTACGCTACGAGCAGACGATTAAGTAGTGTTTTCAATACGTATATAGCTATGTTCTGTTTCAAACTTTACATGGATGATTTCTGTGGTAAAATTTTATTTATTTTTCCACGGCAACCACGAGCGAAACCTAAGCGCTCTACTTTAATAGCTATAAAATAAAAATTCACTAAGTATTAACAAAATATGGATAAAGATTGTTGACTCTTTCTATTAAATAAAAATTCCTTTCAGATTTACAAGTATAGAATTTCAAGCGTGCTCATACTTTTTTTTGTAAATATTATGTATTTTTAGATGCAAACTTCTCAATGAATGTATGCATGTATTTGACATTCGTAAAATAATTAAAAAGTTGTAGGTGTCACTGCTAATAGTCTTACAACACCAAAATTCTTTAAAAAAGTAGTAATTAAATTTCGAAAAAGAAACAGTTCATATTTTTTTGAAAAGAGCCCGTCTGTCTTTTATGCATCTTCGTATAACATACATACGTGTTAAAGAATAACTATTTACAACACAAATGGAAGAGTAATTACGTTTCTATAACAAACAGACAGATTAAATGTGCCTTGCGCACTGATAAAAAAAATTTTCTTATGATACATATTTTGGTAAGTAGTTTTTTAGTTAACAAATAGTATCGACTGACCATTGAATTTTTTTCAACCAAACAACCCGTGACTGTCATTTGAATCATAACCACGTGATCAGAGTTTAAACCAATCATATAACGAATGAAAAAGCTTTATTCTAAATTATTCTTCGTTTTAAAATAAAAAAAATTGTACCGTTTTCTGATAAAAATATTTCATGATTTAGTTATTTAAAAAAATACACTTCAATAATTGGTCTTTATATAATGTATGAAAAAATTCATGCAGAATGAATTTTTCGAAAAAACATTAATAAACGTGGATTCATTACTAAAACATAAATTCAATTTAATTTCTGTACGTAGGGAGAAAGGGAAATAAGAAATTACTGGAGCATAATAGTTCCATTATTAAATCATACAAGAGTATGTCGCGTAATATCAAATAATGTTTGATGAATTTTAATGACTATTTTGTAAACAGCTTGATTAAAAAAAAATAAACAAAAATATAACTATTATTACTAAATAATTATTTTATTAAAAATTTATTTCAAACGATATTATTTATATCTGCATTCCATCACCTTCAACTCGTTTGAAAGTTCCTCTTTATTTCTGTATTTTCATAAAGCATCATTGGCTATATAGAAATGAAGATTTTTAAAAATATAAACCTACTTAATTGATACAAGGACCTTTTAAATTTGGTCATAGGCGTTCTAAATGCTAATACAAAGAAAAATTTTAATTCTGTAGACGTAAATGGCAAAGAAATTAAATTTCCGGTATTCTAATTTATTTTTGGTATAATTATACTACACACTGTGTAGTTCGGTAAAAAGCCCACAATTAGCTCTAAGCCGACACAGAGGTTGTGCCCTCTCCAGCCAAAATCAGGCGAAAATTCTTACATGTAAACAAATGGCTCAGAGCATATATACATGCGCATAGCTGCTTGTGATTGGCATACCTACTTGGCACATTGGCAGGCTAGAAAGAGAACAACGATCCCCTCCTGCTGTTTCGTTCAGCCAATCACAAGCAGCTATGCGCATGTATATATGCTTTAAGCCGTTTGTTTACATGCAAGAATTTTTGCCTGATTTTTACTAGAGGGAGCGCAATCTCTGCATCGGCTCAGAACGAATAAGAAATGGATCAGGAGATTCAGAAAGAAGTACTTAAATGCAATGTGGCAGTGGAAACATGACTGTTCTACTTGGAGTGTATAAATATTATCGTCGTCTACACGCAAGGCGCTGACACGCTGATCGCGTATGGAGCGAGTCTTACTTATGTGTACGTGTGAAATATTTTGTAAAAACTCTTTTTTCTTGCACCATCTAAGCTAAGCTTGACAAATTTTCAGCTTCATGTATAAAGTACAGAAAAAGTATACTGATTTTTGAATTATTCCCATAAAAGTAGCATACTATGTTACCGTCGTCGTTATTTCTCAAATTTCATTTTTTAGTCACAATCACTGACATTCTTTAATTATAGTCTAAAATAAAATTTTCAATCGTAGAACCTGAATCAAATTTAAATTTACATGTGCTGCAAGATAAATTTGATTTATTGTTTAAAAAAGCATGAGATTTTTAACAGTTTTTAAAAAATAATTTTTTTGAACCGTTTTAATGATTCTTAATGTACTAAAAAATTATTAAAAATTATTGAAAATCTTATTTATTAAAATTAGAAGTATCGACTTCATATTTTTAGGCTTTCTTAGGCTTAATACATTTTGAAGATAATTTAATAACAGAACAAAAGAGGAAAATTACAAAAAAAAACTATCTACTATTAATACCATGTGATTTTAGCTGATGAGAAATCATTGTCATACAATCATTAAAGTTCCTACGTTATACGTGAATGGCATATCAAAGTGTATGTACTGGTATTAGTCAATTTCATCAATATTTGGATTTTATAATTAGAATTTTCATTGTAAACTACGATGGATTTCAGCGAGTGTTATGTATGATTAAAAAATGAAATCTGTACAAAAAAGACAACCCTAATTTACATGCGTATCTGTTACTATGTTTAAAAACATTTCATATTTTAGGATAAAGATTGATAAACTACTTACAAATCATTTGTAACTTTGTCACAGTTCAACTATTGTTGTTACAATGATTAAAAATTTCAACCATGTCCACTTCATAAAATACTGTTAATATGCTTGCCATAAGGCAAAAATTTCATTAAATAAACTTGAGAATTTTGGCGTTGCTTAGTAAATTAAAAAAAAAGTCATTAATTATAAATTATATTTAATGTACCATCGAAATTAGGTTAATATTTTCCAGATTTCAAGATAACAATAGAATGTGATTCCAGCTCATACTTTCGTGTTCAGTAAACCGCAGAGCATCAACTAATCGTTTTCGTTTATCAACAGCTGTTGACTTAGGTGTAGGGGTTTGGGGGTACCGGTATTAAAACAAAATTGATTTTCAGTCGGAGTTGTAAACTTTCTATTAACACTCGTTCGATCTCTTGTTGACTTTGGAACTTTCATCCCGTACTCAATCGATACTCCTTTTTTGTTTATTTTATGTCGTCTCATTGTATATCTAAGAACTACTCTCTTCGTTTAACGATGGCCACGACTGGCCTCAGCATGCGTCAATTGGTGATAAACCACCAACATCCATGATTCCTTGCCTTTCAATAAGCTGTACACATATGATTGTAATTTTAAAGCATATCACTCAAAAAAGGTAAAAACGACTGTTTAAAATTGTAAATATTAGAAAATACCCTGCAGATATGCATTACGTGTTATTTGTTACATTATTATTCATACAAATTTTTTGGGCTCAGAATTTTTTGACAAAGTTTTAAAAAAGGCCTTAACGGCACACCAACAATAGCTTAGTTTAAAAATAACCCTTTATGAATAAATCGGTAAGTCTATAATGCACGGTATTAAAAATAGCATCCCACGAAAGAAGAGACCGAAACGCCGAGGGTATCCAACATTAGAATGGGAGCTACACCGTT